TGACAGTCTCATTTTTTCGAGGGGCAGAACTTTTTATAAAAAGTGACATTTTTCGATAAAGTCAAAAACAAAAGAGTTTCTCCTCTTGTCAACTCCATCCGTGGACACACTGTATATACATTATTAATAAACTTTATTGTACTTAAATTCTCAAGTTTTTACTAAATTATTTTATTAAAAAAGTAAAAAAAAAAATAATTTTTTGCTTTCTTTAAAATTGTTTCTTAATGATTTTTTGCATAAAATTTTCCTTTTACATTTTTTAAAAAAGCCATTTCGATGGGAAATCCAATTCTCTAAATAATTTTTCCTATGAACTATACCGAAATTTTGCTTTGTTTTCGTGCTATATTTAAAAAACCGCAAAAGTGCTTTTTAACCCCTATCTTCAATTTCAACCCTCTAATTTAATAGCACCCCACGGTTTTTTCATTTTTAATGACCCTTCGAACAAGTCTTGTGATGAAAATCCTTGAACGTCTTATTTCCTTCCTTTTTTGCAAAAAATGAGAATTAAAACGTATAAGGGTAAGCACGACGAAAATCGAAAAATTGGCTAAGTTTGAGCAGCCATATATCAGTCAATTCTCATCCAAAAATACTGTACAACCTCTTTTTTAGAAGGAAATTTTATCTACTTTTTTTAGCAATGCCTATATCTATCTTTATTAAAAAAAAACTAGGCAAAAAGTAAAAAAATCAGAAAATCTAATTTTTTTCTTTCTTTAAAATTGTTTCTTAACGATTTTTTGCATAAAATTTTCCTTTTACATTTTTTAAAAAAGCCATTTCGATGGGAAATTCAATTCTCTAAATAATTTTTCCTATGAACTATACCGAAATTGCTTTGTTTTCGAGCTACAATTAGAAAAACTGAAAGGGATGCATTTTCACCCCAGCTCCAATTTCCACCCTCTAATTTAATAGCACTCCGCGTTTTTTTCATTCTTAATAGCCATTTGAACGATTCATGCAATAAAAACCCATCAACGTTGTAGTTCCATACCATATGACATAATCAATAGCCTATTTATAAAATTACAACAATGCTAGTTTATATTAAATAAATCATCTTTCCATAGTATCTACAGATTAGTAGGTCACTCGTCAGTAGGCACAAAAAAATGCCCTATACTAATAGATAGTAGGCGTTGAGTAGCAGTTACATTTAAGATTTGACATATACTTTGTAGGTCATATCTTCCAGAGCAATTTACGCCAGTAGGTACAAAGTAATGCTTTGTGCTAGTAGGCACTGGGTAGCAAAGACATTTAGATGATGTACTTTACAGGTTATAATTTACAGAGTGACCTACTCCAGTAGGTACGAAATGCTTTGTGACAGTAGGCATTAAGTAGCAATGACATTTAAGATTTGACATATACTTTTTTGGGAAAGTGGAAACAAAATAATGGTTTATGCCAGTAGGCATTGAGAAGCAATGTACTTTGTAGGTTATACAGGGTGTTTCATAATGATGTGCAAATATTTTAATAAAATGTTTAGAAACTACTTTTAGGGGGTACTTTCAATACATTTTTTCGATTTGAGCCCCCCCCCTGAGAAAATATTCGAATCCCCAAAATGGCCGAAAAAATTAGCTTTTATTTTTTTCGCGAAAACAGTAAAACTTAGAAATTTGAATTTTTGTATACGTTAACAACTAGTTGAACGATATCCATATGAGTCAAAAATAAAAATAAAGGGAATATAAAATTAAAGCAATATAATAATCGTCATTACCTGGAATTCCTGAAGCAATTTCTTCTCTATCCAACTGGTAACTATTATATAGCTGATGTTCCTCTCTCCCACGATGGGTCTGGCGGACAAAACGATCTCAGGTACCGGCCGGAAACCCACCCACACCCTGTCGCTCGGCGGAGGTGGTACGTTCAGCACCAACGTACCCATTATGGCCTTCACCTCGACCTTCAGCCGGAGATCCGTGTTCGACACCCCTGAAAACAGAAGATTAACTTCCCCGAAGGTCCACGGAAGGCAAAAAGCGCACCTTCCATAGCTTTCTTGATGTACCGGTTTTCGGTGGCCGCCTGGAAAATCTTGGATTCGGCCAGTCTGTCCACCATCTTGATGAACTTCTTGCCGGAGTTGCTGGATCCGCCCTGTATGTTTCCCGGCTCTTGCGGGATGTTGGGGATCTCCTGGGGGCCCTCCTCGTCCGAACTGCTCTCGGCCGAATCGTCCACGTCAGAGTTGTAGATCGCCGATTTCTCCAAAGACGTAGATTTTTCTGAAAAAAAAAAGTCTAATGCTAAAACAGTACAAACGATTCATACTCAATATACTGCGGGGACTAAAATGTGTAAATAATAAAACTCAGACAGATGTCACACTGTGTACACGATTAGCGAAAATAGAAATATATTGGAACACTATGCGAAATGAACAGCACATTACAATTTTCATGCAGAGAATACACTAAAAATTGTATACATACCGTACGCTTGCGGGT